ATATGTATTTGCCAGCTAAGCTCCCAACAAGATGCTCTTCTCTTCGTCTCTGCTGTGCGCCGCTCTCGCGCGTGTTTGCACGCGGAGACAATCATGAGCGAGCGGGCGGTCGGTGAGCCTGGCAGATGCGTCGGGGGCGGTGGTGCTTATAAACCGGGTTTCTGAAGTTTCGAGATGTTGTCATATTTATGTTCGATCATTATATATATAGACAAGCGGCTGACCAACAGACAGGATCTACACCAGTGAGTGGTTCGTAAGGTATTGACACGGTCAGGATAAAAATATGAAACAATGACACCATTACTGGATTCGCCCATCCCATCAATTACTCTTTCAGATAGTCTATATAGCTTATTATGTATGTGTCATTTGTCATTACATCATGATGCGCCTCTTCCAGTGACTTTTCTCTTGCCAATTCCCGAAAATCCTTCTGCAGGCCATCGTACGAATCAATCACTGTCGCTCTCATCCACAACAGCTCGCCGTCCACGTGCTGTGCGTCTTACAGTAACATCATCGTCGGAAAAATCCTGGCCTCGTTGCTTCCCAGGAATCTTCAGAACTTCTCCGAGGTCTGGAATATCATCGCTCTCCTGCGTGCCTGGGAATTGGGTCGGCACAAAGAATGGCTTTGTTGATTGAACATGGGCACACTCCGGAGTGGATGTTGATGAACCGGTTGGAGAACTTGTTCGTAGAGAAACGGGCTCCCTCCCACTCGACATCGGATGATTATCAGAAACGATAAAGTCCAGGAGATCTTCGCCATTGTCGGATCCATCAGTCTCAATCATATCGCTGTCGCGTTCACAATCATCACCCACTTCGTCGCTGTTCAGCCCACCTTGCTTCTGCCGAGGCCTTCGCTTCCCTTTCGATCCAGACTTGCTGCTTCGTTTTGGTCGCCCACGGCCTCTAGGTATGACCTCGTCCTCTTCATCTTCGTCGTCATCTTCATCATCCTCTTCAGAAAGGCCCTCATCCACCATGGAGCCAACAGCAAATGTTTGTGGTGCTAAATCGGATGACAATCTCCTTCTTTTCGCACGAGGTTGCGCCTTTGAAGGTGGCTTTCTATTTTGTTTCTTCTTGACTGGCGCCTTCGCTCCCATTCCTTTCGCTTTCGTTGTTGGTGTTTCGTCTGCTGGTTCGGTTTCAGATCCAGATCCAGCAAAGGCGTGTACTGGTATCTCCGAGTAGTTACTCCTATCTTGGTATCGACACGGCAAAACCAAGCTTTCTGGATCATGTGCCATCTTATGCCACATTTTGACAAACCGTTTGGTGCGTATCCCATGCTTTAGCTTAAATACTGGCCTGAGCTGCCTCTGCAGTTCTGGGTGCGCTGTCATATCAGGCATATTTGTCTCCTCAATTATGCTATGATTGAACGGCAAGTTGCGGTATGCTCGGTTGAGCTCCCTAAGCTCTTCTTCATCGAGCAATACCTTGCTGAGTTCTGGCAATGTAGCGAGGTCACCCAGCTCTGGGTTGTGTTTGTTGCTTTGTTGTTTTGCTTTCCCACCAATTTTTAACAAGCTCGCCACACTCTGAAATCCTGTCTCAACTCCGTCAGGCATATGGAACTTTTTCGGTGGCTTCTTCTTTCCTGCTGGTGCTCGACGCTTCTTCGGCTCCGGCAATGACTGGTCCTGTGTGTTTTCGATAGGAATGTCAACGTGTCGTTTGTCCACCTCGGGTACAACCCCCCTCGGAACGATTCGTGTCGAGAGATCAAATCGAAAATTGAACCGACTTCCCTCGCAAATCAATGTTTGCATCTTTTCGTAGTTGTCTTTGGATTTGGCAAATTGATCCTCTTCCTTGCCACGCATGAGTAGCAGCACGATGTTACCCGCTCGTTTTCGGCCAGTTCTTCCCATTCGTTGCAGCATTCGAATTGGTGATGCCGAAGAATCATAGCATACGATTAAATCGACCTGTCCGATGTCCAGTCCTTCTTCTCCGATCGAGGTAGCAACGAGCACGTTAAAATCACCCCTCTTGAACCTATTGATTGCCTCAATTTGCTGTGCTTGCTTCATGCCTTCTCCTCGCTTGCCGTCAGCCTGTCCAACAAAGACACTGGCCTTGATAAGAGGCTGATGTTTATTCAGCATGCGCACAATATCTTCAGCAGAATCTCGGTATTCACTGAACACGATTACACGAGTAGCCGAATTTTCACCCTGGTCCATGAAGTGATTCAACACTGTATCAGCCAAGGCTGTGAGTTTGGGATGTCCCACGAACCCTTCCGTACGAAGCCATTTGGAAATTTTATCCATCATCTCCTGAAAATTAGAATCCTGAATCAGTTGGCGCTTGTACTTGGAACCCTTTTCTCCTTTGCCTTCCTGTTCGCTACGCAAGTCGACAAGATTGTCATAGAAAGGCTTAATACCGTGGAAGTTTAGCAATTTTATCGAGTGTGCGATACTGGTAAGAACGCTGAAGACAGCTCGCATCATGTGTTGCACGCCCTGGTTCGCATGCCTTCCTCGAGAAGCGAACCATTCTCTTTGGGATTGCATCAATCCGTATGCTGTGATAGCCATCGGACTTCGTCCAAACCATATATTTTGCGAGCTCAGTTTATCCGTCATCGGTTTCAGGGCCTTGGTGAAAAGTTCGCTGACTAGGATCATTTCGTCGGACGGATCAAGGACAACCTGTTCGATATTCCTTTGATGAACATACTGACGAATGTCTATTGAGTCTTCTGTGCGTATTTCGCAATGAGATATGCCTAGGTTGTCAATGACTTCTTGGACTGTCTCGATTTTCGAGCCAGGTGTGGCAGTCAATGCTAGTACTCGGAAGCTCTTGGAGAATCGTCGAATGAGTTTTGTGACCTTGGCATACGCATACTCTCCAACCGCGCGATGTGCCTCATCGATGACCAACAAAGCTATGGATTTCGGATCGGCATATCCGTGTGATATATCATTTAGTAGCGTCTGGGGAGTCATAAAAAAGACTCGACGTGATTCCCACTCATCAACACGGAGAGCTGGAGGGATATCGCCTGTCAACAGTGTTGTTTCAGACCGGGGGATACCCGCAATATTGTAGCAAGCATCGACTTGCTGTGCCACAAGGGGCTTCGTTGGGGCGACGAATACTAGCTTGGCTTTCTTGGTCCATCGATAGAAGTTGAGCATGACAGTTGCAGCAATAAAGGTTTTCCCAAGGCCAGTTGGCAATGCTACTAGGGTGTTGTTAAACAAACTGTTTTTGACGATACTGAATTGGTAGTTTCGAATAGCGCCTAAGTTGGTGGGATAAACCCATGTCTGCATTGCCTCAGTGTCGACTTCATGGTGAGTTGGTTCCTCCCGAGGAAGATCGGCGCGGAATACTCTTGTCGCTGCTGCGGGCTGCGAAGTGTGCGGGCCATCGCTTGATAGCGAGCCGCCAAAAAGGGTTGTCTGACGCCAGTTTCCGGAACTTATTCGATTGAGCCCTGTTCGAGGGGCTGGTCCAGCCGAGGCTGCTACGGACACATTCGATCTCGACTGTGGCTCTGGGGATGAGAATGCATCTGAGGGGAGATCCTCCAATTCCAAAGCTGCCACAGCTGCAGAGTTTGGCTTATTTGAGGGTTGCGATACTACTGCATGTAAAGGTTTTTTGTTGCCTTGTCCCTTCATAGAAGACGAGACTTGATCAAGAGCGGTAATGAAGTCCTCATCAGCGATGTCATCGTCGAACTCATCACTGTCCATCGTGGCGAATAAGTGTAGTGACGCGCGGCTTCTCGGGTATGCAGTGATTTGAATCAATAATTAAAACATTCTGGGCGATGAGGCTGTTTTTCCCCCTGTGATAGTTGTTTCGTGACAAAAGCCAGGCACATGCAGATGACTGATTTGGCTAAGTAATGAAGGCAAGGGCGCGTTGCCGATTTCCAGGTCGCGCTGAGCAAAAACGCGATGTCACGTGATTCAAGACATATCTGAGGCATGTACGAAGTAAGGTAGGATCTTTCCAGCTTTGACCGTGTATTACTCCGTACTCAGGTCCAATATTCAACTGTAAAGTTAGCAGGTACCTGGTAGGTTGGCTAGCTGAAAAGTACATCATCAGGCCATCAATGCGCAGCATTTAGAAAGCCAAAAGGTGTACGCAAAGCCTTTCTCGTACTTCCTTCAGAAGCACTTACTTTTTGCTATTTACATGTGAACCAAAGTATATAGGTACCCAGTATCTGCGTATGGTAGCTACTAAGGTAATCTACCTGGATGTAGGTACCTAGTAGTGATCCTTGTTTTCCATTCAGGTTCCGATTTTACGTTGTTCAGCTTTCTGGTAAGTCAACCGCTAACCACCTAACTAGGCCAAATCAGGTAGTGAGGCTGCCTGGTCGAGTGCCTTTATGCTCGCCAGGGTTAGTGGGGCCTTTGTAAAACGTCACAGCTTGCTTCGCGAAGAGAACTTCTTTGTCTTCTACAACATTTTTCCTTTTTCCTCACGTATTGCCTCGTCTCCGCATCACAAACATCGCGGAGCTTGCGCAAATCTTTGTCATAAATCTTCGGCTCTCACTCTCACGCCGACAGAGACAACCCCAGCGAATCGTCGCGTCTTGTTCGTTTCAACTCAATACGATACACAGTCGCACGAATCTCGACCGACCTACGCACGCTTATCCCTGCATTGGTGCAGATCATATCAGGTTGCGATCACCATCTGAAGGAATTGCGCTTGACGGCTCGAGGCTTGGATTATCATCTGCTGCATCTCTGACTAGCTCAGGTCTCTTTCCCCAACCACGAACTCGATCACGTTCAGCATTTGAGGTTGTGAGATCACCAAACGGCTCCCACAAATTCACAACTGCAACAATTTGCGCTTCTGATACCACGCTACAAATAAAAACCACACACAAAAAAGGGGAGGAGCAGAAACCACAAAACTACGAGCAAGACTACCAAAAAAAACACAAGACAAAAAACATCTACCATCACTATCTCGAACCACTACCTACCACTATGGCGCCTCGAGGTCGTCAGAATACCAGCGCGCGCGAGACTCGCAATGCGCGCAAGCCAGCTACTACCTCCAGAGGTGGGATTCAGAAGCGCAAGGCTGGTCGTGTTGATGGCGATGGCGATTTGGATATGGACAGTGCCGGTCGACGTGCTAAGAAGGCTACCACTGCCGACACCAAACCCACTCGGTCCAGTACTCGAACTTCAACACGTGGCGGCCCGTCCAAAAATGCTCAAAATGTGCTGAAGCATTTGAGCAACGGCACCGCCGCTTCCCTTGCCTCTCGCATTTCAAGTGCTTCCTCTGGCAAGGGTCCCAAGACTCGATCCCAAGACATGACAGGCCTGACGGTTCTACGAGTCGGTGGTTTGAAAGAAAGCAAAGCAGCCAGCAATGCTGGGGGAGGTGTCAACGACCTCCTTGGCTTTATGGAGAGAAAAGCTGGTTCATTCAGAACTGGATCGAAGCGAAAAGTCGCCATCAAAAAGGTATGTATCGTCATTGACAGGGCTTCAGGTGCGGAATATTCGACTCGGCTATGCGAGATTCGGAGAACTATTTATCGATCTACCATGCATCCTGCTATATAATTATACACCCCCGCACCTCAGCTGATGCTATTCAACAACGCCTGCTAACTCACTGTAGCACCATACAGTCGGTGACTACGTCTACATAGGAGCGAGTGGGGAGGATGCTTCCGAACTAATCAAGCTCAACACATTTACGTTTGCTGGTGCGCCTTTGGAGGTCATCGAAGTGGACGAGGTCCCGGACAGGGGCACGGCAATCGAGTCCAAGACTACTCTAGAGCTTCGTACCAAACTTCAGGAAATTCTAAGTTCTCGGTACCTTGGCGCCAACAAGCTTCTCAATCTTGATGCCCTTGCTTCAGACGCAAACCTCGTCACTTTGGGCATGTTTGAGAGTCGAGAACGTGCTCTGAAGACATTCAGGGGGCTCATGGCTGTCTGCGAAAGTCTTTTTAAGACGGATAAGGAGAAACAAGATGCAATCGAGAGCATCAGTCTGGCAAACAATAATATCGATGATGTTGGCCAAGTGGAAGTCGTCGCTACAACTTTTCCTCGTTTGAAGAATCTCGACATGAGTGGCAACCAGGTGGCTTCAATGCAAGCACTCCAACCGTGGAAGGGCAAGTTCAAATACCTCGAAACCCTGTTCATGACAGGGAATCCCATCGAAACCACAGATCCGAGCTACCCATCAACCCTTCTGGAATGGTTTCCCAGGTTGCAGAACATCAACGGTACCCAACTACGCACCCCGGAGCAGATTGCTGAGCAGGAGGCTGCCCTTAGACCGAAGCCAATTCCCCAGAACGGTCCTGATTTCAGGGATGTCGGCGGTATTGGCGAAAACTTCCTCTTGGAATTTTTTGCGGCATATGACAGCGATCGCCCTGGCCTCGCGTCAAGGTTATACGACGAAGACAGTCGATTTTCTATATCGGTTGACACACGAGCAGCTCCGGACCCCAACGCTGCTGCACCCATGTCTTGGGCTTCGTATATCAAGCTATCGCGGAATCTGACTAAAATCACCATGCCGAACCCTCGCATCCAACGACTCTTCCGTGGCGCTGCTAGCATTCAGGATGCTTGGAAGACCCTTCCCCTCACTCGACACCCCGATATCAAAGTGGAGATCAGCAAGTACATCATGGATTGCCATCCTTTGCAGGGACTTGTCGACCCCAGCGGTCAGAGCTCCGGAGGCGTCGATGGCTTGATAGTGGCAGTGCACGGTGAGTTCGAGGAGCAAGACCCTAACACCAATGCGACGGGAAAGCGAAGCTTCTCCCGTACGTTCGTCCTTGGACCCGGAAAGCCAGGGAAGGGGGTTATCCGAGTCGTTAGCGACATGCTGTCGCTTCGAACATATAGTCTACTCCCCAACGTGTTCGCGGCGCCTGTCTCAATTCCTACTACGACACCAGCCGATCAACACCAAGCAATGATCACCGAGTTATGCAAGCAGACGGGCATGACACCCCAGTACTCCGAGATGTGTCTTACCCAAGTGAATTGGGAATTTGACCAGGCTTTGGTGATATTTAACGAGAAGAAGGTATGGGTCTCATTTATCATGAAAGCGGGTTACGGAAGACTAACAGGCTTCAGTCACAACTTCCAGCCGAGGCTTTTGCTACGATGGTTGGCTCATAGGATGGCTGGCCCAGCATCGAGGCTGTGGACCCAACTACGGCAGGACGATACGGAAGCACGCAATGTGTTTAGGGTTCTCACAAGATTGGGGAAAGAATGGACGGGTATATCAAAAGGGGTGGGTAGAAATTAGATTAACAGCGATGGTTTGCAGCACTGTTGGAGTTGATTGGTCCACACGGATATTTGCATCATAAATGGTTATAGGCGATACTCTTTGAGATTCGGGTCCAGGAGGACTTCTTTTTGGTGGGGAGAGGCAGGCAGTTTGCATAAATTATAATGAAATACCGTCACAGATTGAAGACGCTATATATTCTCTTTACTACGGAGTATAAACCCTCTACTATGTCGGGAATGAGATTTCGGCAGCAATCTTGCTCTGATATGTGACAAGGCTGCTCACACTCGCATTTATGTGTATAGAGGAAGTATTGCGATTGAATAGCTAGTAACCTACCTAGCCGAGCAACGAATAATTACAATGTATGTATGCAGTTTCTACCTAGTACATTAGCAATAAACTGACAACTACCTGAGTTTTGTTTTTTTGTTTTCCCATAGGCAGTATAGGGTAACATCGATATATATGCTATTGGGTACTCCGTACATGACGATTGTTTTCAGGCAACGATTATTTAATTATTCGATTATATACTCGTGTTTCTGGCTAGCCTGCTCGTTGGAAAGAAGAACCGCTACCGTTGGGTGGTCTCCCAGTCTACGATTCGTTAATTAGAATAACCCATGGCTATACCTGAGATTTATCAGTTTCATCGCAATGATCTTAAACGCTCTTGATGAATTATGCCCCACCGGAATGCCAGACACATTCGCTGCTACAAAATATACAGCCGTTACTGGCGATAATTCATTTTCATAGTATATAAATATTCGACTGGGAAGTTATTGCTATTAGCCACTAAACTTATAGAAAGAGAGAGAGGGCATTGATGCAGTATTATTCACTTTCGCCTCTAACTAAGTCCTTCCTATCTGCGAGGAGGTTAGTAGAAGTTACCGGTGTTATGGGCCCTATAGTAGGTATGTTCACAAACGGCTCTCGTTGAGACCGTTTTTGCTGAAAATCCTACACGAGAGAAAATACCTAGCTCTGCAGGTTCATGCGAGTAATTCGAGAAGGGCAGGTGAAAAGAATTCAAGCTCTTATTAGCCCCGATAGGGGACTGGGGTCCTCAGGTTGTGTGCGCAATAGCGCGTTTCATATCGAGACTTGTGGATTTAGCCTAGAACCCAGGTAGCCCAGCGAGCACTTTTGCTGCAACAATTGGCGACATACGTAGACTGGCTAGACTGGATCGAAGCGTCGAAGCAGACATGGCCAATTAAACGGGCGAGTCTGTCCAAATTAGATTCAGGTCAGGCTGGCCATGGGCGTCATTATCACCGACACCCTTTGACTCTCAACATCAGATACTCCGATCCACGTAGCCCAACGTGTGTGGTATTGTGTGACAAAGGAACGAAGCGCAATACAAACGTGTAAACAGCCCAAGCAATTTCAACACGAAGTTCAATTCTCGAATTTGCTCATCTCTCCTGGTGCCCTATAGTCTTCAACCCAACGGGCTTGCTACGGGTGCGAATTCTAGAGAGTGTGGTCTGGCATTGTACCTTACTTACGCAGGTAATTGCCCAACACTTGACCCTACCAAGTATGTGAAATATCCATTGCATTACTGCCGTGCATATCTTATGGAAAGCCTCCAGGTCCCTACAGATGCGATACCTGAGTACCATGCCAACAACGTTTCTACTATAATGGTATTGATATTGATAACTCAGTATGGAGCACTTAACGTTTATATAACATCCCGAACCTATAACGTCTTCGCTTGACTGACAATAGTGACGAACTTCTGAGCTTCAAGTGGTTGCCCCTATTTTAATCTCTTCAAGCCCAGGGTAGATGCACGGGCCGCGCGCCTCTTTTAGAACAGACCTCGCAAGTACCCCTGATTCGAGTGGAGGCAATCCAGTGGGTGCTACCTATTGCTGCCCTGTAACATTTCACAATGCCCCGAGGGCTCTGAAATGGGCATTCCATGCCACCAATGGTATGTCGCATTGGCTGTGAGGAACCCCTGCCACTGGGCGTCAGGAAGCGTTTGGTGAGAGTTGCACCAACCAATAAGAGGCCTTGACCCCTGGGCGGGAAGACCAGCCTGCCAGCCTCTTGTGGAGGGAGGGAGGAAGGGGCCCACTGTACCTGCAGTTACTGGATTTTGTATGGATCGTCGCTGGCTGCTGGACTGGCGTCTCACTTCTGGTCTCAACTCCGCCACTGCCCAAGCTCACGATACCAGGAGAATCGCAACAAATCACAACTTGGGATCAGCAATTGCCAAATCACAGACGGATAGCACGCCCTAGAAGTGCACCGAGCTATCGTCATAATACCACGTTAAGTCCTAGCAAGATTGCTCATGGCTCGTGTGGTGCGGTGCGGCGTACTCAGTGGTTGCTTGCAGGACCACGAGCCTCAGACCCCTGCTCATTTGTGTCCGTCAACTCATATCCATGACATTTTTACCTGTCTCTGAGACTCCGCCTTGAACAAGGTCACCCCAGTCACGGCTCTCCACTACGAGCTCGTGTCATACGTCTCGTCCCCCAGCGCTCGATTTGCTCTCTTCTCTCTCATTTCTCCTGGATCATCTGCTTTGCTTTGCTTTTGTCTGCTCTTTCTCCCGCGCTTGTCTCTGCCACACCCATTCCAGGCCTCGCAACACCGTCTGGTACGATCACGTCGAGGTTCACTGCCAATCGTCGGACTCCCTCCTTTTACCTATAGCGCCAAATTGCACGCTTGATTTGCATTTCCGTCGTTTGGCTAGAGAGCGATATCGAACAAGCGTACGACAGACGTCTACCCTCCCGAACCGAACACCTCATCTGTCGCCCTCCAATACAACTGTCACTTCGACTTTTGAAGTAGATCGCAGCGATTTCCTCCACGTCTGCGTCTTCTTTTGTCACTCTCGCACCTGTGGTGTTGAGAACTCAGCCACCTTTCCACTCCTTTCTACACCAACACTTTCTTGCTGCATCCGGCCAGCTCTCCCCAGGCATCGGGTTCATCAGATTGTCGCCACATCCGTTAGCTTCAACTCTGTCTGCTTGCGAATAACTCGATTCATTCCTTACCCGTGACGACTTCTCTTTCAGCGACGTGTGCATTCTCTTGGCCTTCCAAGAATTGAACTTCATTTCCGACAGTCTTGACTACTGCTCGCTTCTGACTTGGCCTTTGATTTGCGACGCGAACGCCAACTGACCAACTTTCGAACCCGTCATGCCATCGAAATCATATTAATTTGTTCTCAAGATTGTGATTGACTGGGAATCTTTTTCGCGATGAGTTTACCTGAACCGCCGTCCTCATTGGACAATGGTTGCTCTGTTGTCCACGACAACACCCTTTATGTTTTTACGCCAACTGCTTTCTTGTCGCTACCACTTGAGGAGGGTGCAGAATGGAAGAAGTTGAAGATGGGAGAACAAGTTACCGGGGGAGCCTGTGTGGGAACTGATACAGCGCTGTTCATCATCGGAGGTAGCGGTGGTCAAGCTGACTACAATGGTCTGCAAAAATACGTTTTCGCTGACAAGAAGTGGGAGACATTGCCTATTGATGACACGGCCTTCCGAAATCTACAACACCACGGTGCTGCCTATATCAAGAATACCGACCAGATAGTCGTCTCTGGCGGTAGCCAGGACGGCAGAGAAACGCCTTCGGATACCTCACGATACTTCACCGCCTCAGGACCATATATCCTCCAGAGCGCAGCGGGATCTGCCGCGTCTGTCAATCCCATTCTTTTGGCCTGGTCCGACGCCGAAGTCTGCCTGCTTGGCGGTAGTGACTGGAACACGCAAGTTTTACTCTTCAACGCCGCAACAAGTTGGAGAACAACAGGCATCACACTGTCCACGCCCGTCGCGGCTTCCAGCAAAGCCATGATTGTTCAGGGAGATGATGGCTCCAAGAGTCTTTATGTTTTCGATCTCTCAGCCAGTCCCAACAAAGTTCATCGCTATGTTGTTTGGGGTGACAACAACGCACCTGGCCAAAATGCTGTGGATCAAAACGTGAAGCGTGATCTGTCCCTGAATGACTGGCCTGAATATAACTCGACACTAGCTCCTACCTCAGCACGCTCCGATTACTCGATGGCCCAGGACTCGAATGGCAGAGTTGTGTTTGTCGGTGGCAACAAAGACGAGCCTCTCGCCTTCTTTGACATGAAGGAGAACTCCTGGCTTGATGCCTCTAGCATCGTAGGTGACGAGTCACAGAAAATTCTCTCTGCGGAATCTACCACCGGAACCAAAACTAGAACCAGCACCACCAAGACATCATCGACTGAATCATCCACAAAAACCAAGTCTGTCAGCAGCGATCTGTCATCGACATCAGTGACGTCGACCACGGCAACAGCTACTGGCGATTTATTCTCATCGGCGACCATCTCTGATTCTAGCTCTGCTACCAGCAGTGACATCGCGCCGGTTGGGGGTGCCAGTAGTGATGACAAGTCTGGTCTTAGTTCTAATGCCATATTGGGTATCACACTGGGCACGATCTTGGGCTTCATCGCTGTGCTCATCGTCATTCTGTTACTCCTGCGCCGCCGCAAGAAGACCCGCCAACCATCGCCTGAGAACACGCAGCCCCGGCACGATTTCCCCTCTGATGAGAAGGATCCCATGGGGCTTGGCGATGGCCCAGTGTCACCCTTCCGCGGTCACCACTCCAACATGTCACAAGAATCATTCTCATCAATGGCGATTTTAATGGGCCGTGCTGGCAAGAACAAGCCTGGTATGTCTCGCAACTTGAGCAACGGCACCAACCATAGTTCCGTCAGCACTGAACACAAACAACTCAAATCTACCATTGGCAAACCAATCCTGCAGGAAATGCAACATCCTGTATTACAAGGGCAAGACACTCGTGGAGTGGCTTTTGATCC